AGGGGGGCTGAGGGGGGGGACGGGGTGGAGCCCCCGGCGGGCAGGCCTTTCCCATGGTCCATCTCCGTGCCCCACCCGCCCGGTCCGCCCGCTGAGCCCAGGTCTGTGGGCTGCCGGCGCCTCTCCACCCACTGCACACCTCACAGGCGCCCACTCCCACGCCTGCACCCCTGTGACCAGTGGGCCTGAGACATGGCTGGCCCCGTGGGGCCTGGGGACAGCTCCTGAGACGGGTGAAGGGAGTTTGGAACAAGCGGTGAGGACTCAGAGATGACGGGGCGTCTCCTGGGGCTCCCGGTTCTAGACTTTGGCTGCCTCCGAGCGTTCCCACACTCTGTAACTGACAAGTGACTGAAGTAGGTCACGGGCGGGTGACGCACACACTGGATCACTCTTGCTTTTAGATCACAGTGACAGTGGCCCCAGGGCCATGTGTCCACGCCCTCGCTCCCCGGGCCCCTGGGCGGGACTGCATTTGGAAACAGAGTCTTTCTGGGTGGAGTTAGGTTGAGGACCTTGGCATGAAATCATCCTGGACTTAGGGCCCACTCCGATGCCTCGACAAGGGCCAGGAGAGCAGATTTGAGCCACGCGACACAGGAGAAGCCATGGGAGTTGGAACCGTGCGCGCACGTGCGCCAGGAGCTCGAAGAGGTGGGAAGGGCCCCTGCAGATGGAACTGGCCCCCCGCCCCATTCCCCGAGGACGCCGACTCGGACGGTGGCCCCCAGAGCCGTGAGTGCTGGTCCGAGCTGCCCTGTCTGTGATGCTTTGTCACGGCAGCCCCAGCAAAGGACGGGAGCCTGCAGGCATCTCCCCTGCACCCCTCAGACAGCCGGCCCCCCGTTTGTGGGCTCGTTTCCATCCCTTTGCTCCACGGAAACCTGTGGTGCTTTTCACTCCTTCGAGCTGGCCGATTCCCTCGCTCGAACTAGTCGCGATCGTGCACTCACGTCGTATGAGAGGCGTGATTTATCTTTTTGAAGATACCTTTTATGAATCCTTCAGAGACTGCAAAATAGAAACTTCTGGACACAAAGTCAGTCTCTTGGCGTCTGTCTGACTCAGGCGCTGGCTCCAGCTGTTGACTCAAGATTTAAGAAAACAGACACGCCTCGGCGTTCACGGGGACACGTGAGGTGTAGCAGCCTGAGACCGAAGGAAGTAACCCCACAGGCCGGTCTGTTCAGGTCTGGCGAGGCCCGGATGTGGGCCCGAGGAGGAGACACACACGGGGGCCTCAGGAAACGGGGGACAGACGGCTGCGTCCGGGGCGCCAGTGTGGGGGAGGGGTGGGATGCTTTCCTAATGCAGCAGCCCACCAGGCGAGGTCACAGGGCAGGGCCCGTGGGCACACTCCAGGTCCCCACACAAGGACTCCGCTGCGGCCCGTGGCCGTCTGTGTCCCCTGCTGGGACGTTGTGGGGCAGTTCCCCTACCCCCCACTCCCGAGCCCCCTGGGGGCAGTGCAGCTGGGGCCCTGGGCCACCAACCCAAGGGCTGCAGCCACAGTACCTGGTCAGCCCAGCCTCCCTCCCAGCTGGAGGGCTGAGCGGCCTGCAGAGCGCCCTCCTGCATCTCTCTGCTCCTTCCCTGACCCCACGCCTTGCCAGCTCCCCTGCCACAAGCAGCTGACGTCAGTAATGGCACTCTGGAGGGCGTTGGTGGGAGGCTGGGCTCAGAGCCACTCGCCGGGCCTCACGGAGACCCCTTCGGTGACCTTAGCACTCTCCCGAGGCTCGCTCTGTCCTGGGCCCACCCTGTCCCCCCAGCTGCAGGCTGGCCGTGCAGGGCCCGTGACACCAGAGGTCACCTGAGGCTGGAGGCAGAGTCATTCACACTGCCCGATGCCGTCTGTGAGACCGTGAACCCCGGCAGGGCACGCCGGTCACAGAGGGCCGGGCCACCAGCAATGCGGCCATTTCTGCCCTGGGCCCAGCACCCCATCCGCGCAGCACCCCATCTGCGCAGAGAGATGCTGTCGCACCGCCGTGCGCAGGTGGCTGCCCGAGCATGAATATGTCACCCCCGTTCTTCCCCAGATGAACCGCACACCTGCTCTTTTTCTAGACTTTTCTGAAGGGGTTTTCCAAAGTTAGACAGCGAATTCAGCTCCAGGGCACGGTTGGGGGACCCGTGGTGAACAGCGGACAGACGCTCCCTTCCTCCCTCGTCCCCGTGCGGCCGGTTCGTTCGTTCACTCACGTGCTCGTCCCCGACACCCGACGCCGTCTCCCCAGGAAAGCAGAGCATAGACACCAGAACCACCACCGTGGCCCGGCCGGTGACTCGGCCCCTCTGGGAGGCGGGCGGCTCAGACACAGTCGTCATCTGTCACCTGCGGTGGTTTTGACCCGCAACGTCCGGAGACGTTGGGGTTGTCCCTGAGGCGGGGGTGGAGGCCGGCTCGCCGCTCAGCGTCAGGGCAGAGACGGGGCGCGATGCCGAGCGAGAGCCCCCCTCGAC